ACTGTCATATAGATGGAACTTAAAAGAGAGTACACAGGCCGTTAGAGTAGTTTGCGTTGAGTAGACGCAGGCGCGTACGGAGACGTAGACCTGGAGGAAGCCAGCCGCACTCCACACCACAATACCATCGGCACCCGCAGCCTCAGGAGTTCAGATCGTCAGGTCAGCGACAGGTATTTATATTATATCTTAGATATATATTTATATAACTGATGATACATATATATATACACTCCCCATTGGATCCATCTTAACAAACTATAAAGCCGAACATGACTCTATTTTGACTGCATCCAAGATTCTAAAGAGTTGTAAGAGGTGCCTACTCTCATGTATTGAATTCTTGACAGATGCAGTATCCGCTCTTGAATGACTCAAAAATAAATGGAAGAGCACACTAGGCAAATTAGCTAAAGAGCTGAAAGACCTAAGAACACACTACCGACAAGTGGCTCTGCAATGGATTCCGAGACACTGTGGGCTTACTGGAAATAAAAGTGCAGACCGATTGTCTAAAGAAGGAATATTGCTCTCCCAAATTAGCAGCATCTCTTGGTTAGAGGAGTGGAAAGCCAGTCATCCAAACCACTCACTTTTTGGTGGCGGTGTGGCCCAACAAACTAACGCGGTTGCACAGCACCATGCCTTGCCCGGCAACCTGATAATCGAAGTTTTGAGATAAACAAATACTTACAAGTTCCCAAATCCCGGTGCCCAGTGAGACTTTTAACTCGGCACAATTCCCCCGCCGTCTCTCCCTCCCAAGGAAAATCCCGTGTAGTCTAAAAGGCAAGGAAGAAGTGACAAAAAAAAAAAAAAAAAAAAAAAAAAAAAAAAAAAAAAAAAAAAAACTACGATTCCCATGACGTTTATTTCAAGCTAAGCAGAAGAGAACAATATATCATTTTTCGACCCAGGACCTCACATAACCGCCTAAACCATGGAACCTAGTTGTTCAGAAGTCTGGGACCTAAGTAGGACTACTAATTTAATTTTTTTACTTCCTGGCATAGCCATCTAGAGTGGATAACGAAGGAGAACAAGAAGTAGACCTGTTTTCACATATTTGTTATTTGACTTATTCACTATCATGCCCACTCTTTGGGCAGCTTCCTGTAGAGCGAGATACACCTCCTTCATAAATGCTAAGTTTCTTCCATTATGTCCAAGTCACCCTCGAAGCCAAGGATCTAAGCCGATCTGTTAAATAAGGTGCCCCAATCTATACACCGGAGCTTCTAACAGCACATTCCAGTGTCATATTAAACAATAAACAGGCAAGGTTGTCAATCTTCCTAAAGGTACTATTTCACTGGCGCGACCGCAATTCCACGCCGCCAACCGCTGTTGGAGTAGCTATTTCGCTGAAACTGCTCATTGGGGTTGTTATAACCTGCCTATAACCTTCGAACATTTCGCTTAATATTCGAAGATAAAAAAACGGACATCCTTTCTCTGACTACCGTTTTTTTATTTGAAGAGAGAGAAGAAGAAGACGAAATGTTGTTCAAAAGGAGAAGGAATATCAGTATTTCAATGAGATGCTCATCATCCAAATCATAAAATCCCTTCTTGGACATTGTTTGCTATTGTCTAGATGACAACCAAAAATTGAGAACGACTAAAAAACAACAAAAAGGCGGAAAACGCCGTACTAACACCAATAGTCCCTCTGATATTAGACATTATTAGTTTGAAAAGTAATAGTAATTATTACATAATTGATTAGTAACAAATATCATATATTTGTAATTAAATCACAGCAGGCGATGTTTTATCAATAGTAATCTGTAAATCTCCACTTTAATTAAAAAATACTAATAGATTTTTCAATGAGTGAATTTTAGTGTTTACCTGACGTTAAAATTTGTTGGATTCTTTAATTTATTTAATATCGTTTGGATTTAGGTATATTTGAATTTCGCTGTAAATATTGTTGGTGGAATAAATAATCTCGTTACTTCAACCTTAAAAAATAATTTACTATCGCATTGTTTAAGTTTTAAACAATATTTCTTATAATTTTGTCAGACTTGAAAGAAACATAGGAAATAAAACGTATCAACGTGACTGTTATCATCAAAACAATGCTCTAATATGATAACATAACCTAGAACCGCCGAACAGCCAACAGCACCTTCCACTGCTTCAAGAACGGTCAGATAGGAGCAGCTTAGATAAGACGTCGTACCTAGACTGCCGAGCAGCGCCAGCGAAATATTACCTTAAGGTCCTTATATGTTTCAAAATCCTTAGAAAGGCTCCACCTACCTTTACTGCAAACTCCACTATTTTAATGGTCATCTTTATGGTTAGACTAATTTGGTTAGACGGAGTTCCCCCAATTCTAGTAGATTTTGGTATATCTTTTCCCTTAAAATAGTGTCGTAGGCTTTCTGAAAATCAATCAAAACGTGGTAGAAATATTGTATTCTCTGTCTTTTTCTATGATTGCTATTATTGAGGATATCTAATCCAGAGTCCCTCGAGCTCTCGTGAACTATGCCTGGTACAATCCAATTTTTCGTTCTGCGTTTGTGCAGAGTCTCTGATACTCCTCGGTAATTCATGTATAGCAGTATATCTCCTTTCTTATGTATGGACAGTCATATATCAATCGTCTGACATTTCTTCACTTTGCCATATTTTCATGACAAGATCATACAAAATTCTTTCATTTTTTCTCCTTCATATTTCAAAAATTCTCCGTAAATACCGTCTACTTCCGATGACTTATTATTTTTAAGGTAACTTATAGCTTCTTGAATCTCCTCATAATCTGGTGGCTTCCAGGATATTTTGCTCGAGTTCAAACAATGGGGGTTCCCCGTTTTCGTTCGAGAGACCTCTGAAGTATTCCGTCCACCGTTCTTTTCTTCACTAAGCAGTGTACCGTCAGCATCTCATGCAGCTATTCGTGACCTAAATGGCTTCGGACTAGTCTTAACCCCCTGATAAAACTTCTTTGTTTCGAATAAAACTTCTTGGATTGTTCTTATCTGCTACTTTCTTAGTTTCCTAGGAACTTTCTTAAAACCTACTTTCTTAAAACCTAGGAACTTTTGACAAGTGGATACACCATCATTGGATCGCCAACTAACGAGGTAGATTCTCTTATGAGGAAACATAGTGCTTCCAATCACTAATTCCCTTGATGCTGCAAAGCTAATAAGACTTTGACCATTGTCATTAGTTTCTTGATTTATGCATTGCATTACAATTACGCGACGAAACTCATGCTCTCTTCCGCTTTGTCCATTACAATCCTCGATCATAATCTTTGTCAGCTTTAGGACAATCATCCATTTATTTTTCAAGAATCTGATAAAATATGTTCTTTTTATCTTCTAGTGATGGTTTAGTGAGGACATGAACATTAATGACGCTATAATTATAGAATTTGCCTTTTTCTCTTAGATGACATATTCGCGGATTAATGATTTTGAAATCAATTATCAGCTGGGAGTTCTTTTTACTAAGGATGAATCCGGTCCCAAATGTGTGATTTCGCTAGTTACAACTATAATACATTACATGTTGCTTCTCGGAGAACGTATTGTTCCCCGTCCGTCTTACCTCTTAAATAGCTGTGATATCCAGTTTGTAGTATTCTTTGAAGAACTGTAAATTGGTGAGGATCTGTTGCAGTGCTCTCGATGAGTAAAGAGAGAGAATATTTCATGTTATCAGTTGAAAGTTCGTAAGGCTGGTATTTCTCTTTTTTTAATTTTTTTTATTTTGGATCCTTCCCTTCCTCGCCTTTAAGGATATACGGGTTATTCCCGGGCCAGAGAATGAGGGCGGGGATTTAAAAGACTTCCCCAGCACCGAGACGCGAACTCGTGATCATTTTTATGTCATTTGAGTCATATATCAGATTGGCGGGCTGGTGCTGCACGCATTAACCCATTCGGCCACCCCACCCACTGTAAGGCAGGTGTTTATGCAGCTTTTCAAATTAAGGCAAGGCAAATAACTCTCACGAGTTCTTAATAGGCAACATTCAAAATTATGAGCAATATTCTACTATTATGCAGTAGACTGTATTATAATGGATTGATAGGTTATACTGATTGTAATAAACTAGCTTACCATCTTTATGCTAGCTTACATCTCTTTGTTAATTAAGTGTCCTGAAGCGCAGGTGTTGTCTCCCTGGCTACTAGTGCTGGAATGCGCTCCGAGAAACCGGCAGCTCTTGCGGATTAAATGTTATCTTTTAGATCTTCTGATCATCCCCCACCACTTCACCAATCACCCACCGTAACGAGAGAAATTTGAACCATTTCGACACAAACAGCAGGTACTATATTGTTCCCTTAAAATCAGTTCGGAATATCTTTGTACGGATTTCTTAATATTTAAATTTTAGGAAGAGGGTGTTACCAGTTCTCTAGCAGGTGGAGGGACTGCCTCCTCGGACCATCCTGACATAAATTCCCGTCTAGGGCTGTTACCAAGAGGAGGTGACTCTTGGGTGTGTACTGTATTTTACCATTGTCTGTAACTATGAAATTTTGGCTGTGTGCTATGTGTAGTGTACTGAATGGCCGACAGAGTAGTTGTTCCACCAACTTGGGCCATTGGCTGATTGCAGTCGACAGACTAAGCCATGGGGTCCCCACATATCTACGCCTATATTACAAATGTATTACTCATTTTGAAACAATAGTTTTTTTTTTATTTTCACGCACCTTGTGATTTATGACCTTCTAGTTTTAGTAGAACCTAAACATCAAATTTTTTTTTTTTTGCTAATGGAAAAATTTTTATAGAATAATAGAGTATGTACTTGATTTCAAAACATTTTTCAGAGTATATATGCAAGTAACAATTTTAAAGAATAATTTAATAAGAGACAACTTTTGATTATTAATAACTTTTTGATTAAAATATTTTTCGTCTTTCAGATACAACAAAATGCTCCTACACATTTTATGTAACGCAATAAAACAATGCAGAAACAATATTTTATTACCAATAAATACTAAAAGTAATCAGATGGTTTAAAAGTAAAGTTTTACCTCTCAAAACTCAGCATTGAAAATTTTTAAGATCGCAATAACTTCTCTTATTATGTATTTTTTTAATAAATAAGTGAAAGTAAAAATTTCTGAATGTAAAACATGACATCAAACGTTTATTTTATATTCTACTTTCTTAGGTACATCTATCTCCTTGAAGCTAACTACTTAAATATTTCAGTTAGAAAAGCTCGTTCATACAACTATCGATAGTCCCTTAACTTAAGTTGGTGATTGACACAACGTGACTTTAGATTCATAACATTATTTTAAGTACTAGATTTGGCTAAGTCGAATTACAAAAATGTTAAATGTTCCAGCAGTTTTTATAGACTTAACTCCTGAAGATCAAGCGGTTGAACTCTTAGTGTATTTTAAAAGTTTGGGAGCAGATGTCTCAGAAGACAAGTCTCCTAAAGGAATTGAAGATGATTTAAATCAAATAATAAACGTTTGTGAAACATGTTTCAAGACAAATGAGGCTGAAGTTGAATCTGTTTTAAATGCTATAGTTTCTATGTTAGTTGTGATACCTGTAAATAGGGCTGAACAGTTAATATTATCATTTAGCAAAAAATTGACTAAAGCAAAAGGTCAAAAATTAGGACAGATAGCTTTAAGAGTCCTCTGGCTTCTTTTTCAGTCTCTAGATGAACATTGCCCAATAAGGTATTATGTATACTATCACCTTATCCAAATTGCAAAGCAAGTTGAACAGGTGAGAGCAGTATTCCGAGGTGTGGACCATCTTAAACAACAATTTGTTGCATCCCCTCCAACTACTGAACAAATGCAAAAACTATTAAGACTTCTTCATCAGGTCCTAGTAGCTTCAAAGGAGAGTGAATTAGCAGCCAAAGTAATGATTGAGTTACTTTCTACTTACACTACAGAAAATGCCAGTCAAGCCCGTGAAGATGCCCAGAGATGTATCGTAGCTGCATTGGGTGACCCTGAAACTTTTCTGCTTGACCCCCTCCTTTCATTAAAACCAGTTAGATGTTTAGAAGGAGAACTTGTACACCAACTTCTTACTATCTTTGTTTCAGAGAAGCTTACTGATTATTTAAAATTTTATGAAAGCAATAAGCAGTTAGTTGAGGTTGAACTTGGACTTGATCATGAAAGAAATTTGAAGAAAATGCGTTTGCTTACGTTTATGCAGTTGGCAGAAGGTGCAACAGAAATGAGTTTTTCCACAATTACATCTGAATTGCAAATAAAAGAAGAGGAAGTTGAAGCTTTTATAATAGAAGTACTCAAAACAAAATTAGTTAGGGCTCGAATGGATCAAGCCGCAAAGAAAGTCTATATAGCCAGTACAATGCACAGGTATACTGCACAAGTTTAAGTTCTTATTAATTTTGTAATAACATTGTTTAGGAACTAGATACAAATTGGTACTCCAAGATTAGGGCTTGGTTTAAAACTACTTAGAGCACACTATATATATATGATATCTAAAGTAACCACATTAACAATCATATTGCTTGATTGGAAGACTGCCATTAATTTAAAAATCTGAGATATATATACATTATTTATATCGCTAGCTTAGCAGAAATTTTTTGCATTATCATAATTAACAAGATGATATTAAGTTGATTTTTTTTTATTGTTGAGTTGTACGGTTCCTCTTCCAAATTTACAATATAATATATACTTTAACAGATATTTTCTGATATATTTTTACCTAAAGTACTCTAAAAGCCATTTCGTGAAGAAAAACTAATGTGTTTTTTTGTGATATTGTTTCCTGATTACAGAAAACACACTTGTTTATAATATGTGAAATTGTTATATTTATTATTATTCATTTGACATAGTATATGGAAAATTGTTTAAACTGCAGTTTAATATATTTACTATTTAAAATTTATATTTATTTCATAGTAAGAGATTATAGTTAGCCAAACAGTTGGTTCATGCATCTCATTCGTCATAAATTCTACCATTAGTGTCAAGGGAGCAAAATATTTTTGAGGAGCAACCATCTGGTCTGGTCTCTATCCCCTTCTCAGCTTATTCAGTTGGTTCCCGCCCTGACGTTAAAGTGGAATAGGTTTGAAAACTTATGGGAATTGAATTCAATGGAAATCTAATGAATTTATTCAAAACAAAGGAATAGATTTTTTTTTTATTAAAGAAATTAGCAACTGTGTTAAATAATTAATACAAGTAACATGACATGTACATGAAGAGAAACTACCTATTGGTAGCACTCCAATTATATTTCTATATTAGAAGGTCCCGAGGCCTTCTTCTTACGCCTCAGAGGGTTATCAGGAATAGAAGAGGAAGCAAGGTTGGAAACAAGAGGGTTCGGATGGTTCAGAAGTTTATTATGAAAGGACAGGTATCTGGATTGAGCTAAATCGAAAACATATGGCACATTAAGGCCATTATGGATGATTTTATTTGTGACAAAGTAGGTAGCATTAAGGATTTTGGATTGTAGGGATTGGATACGAGAGGAATTTGATGGTTTAGTAAAGCCACAAAGCTCAATTCCGTAAGTCCAAATTGGACTTTTTATAGTAATATATATGAGTCCTTTGTAAATAGTTGGCAGTTTAGAGCATTTGTCTTGTAAGTGCTGGAGTAATCGGCAACGTCGGGCGGTTTTAGTCGTTTCAGTCTGGTATGGGGGTTCCAAGTAAGTCGTTTGTCAAGGTGGAGTCCTAGGTAGCGGATTTGTTCAACAGGGATAAGTGGGGTATTGTTAAAGGATGCTCTAGGACAGGAGGTCATAGGTTAAAGAGTAAAGGTGATGGGATTTATTGGAATTTATTTTAATCCTCCAGTTTTGACACCATTTTTCAAGACTTGTGATATGTGATTGAAGAGTTTGGGATGCAATAGATGGATCGTTAACCAATAGGATACATGTGTCATCGGCATAGGTGGTGATGAAAGTAGGAATAGATTTACATTACAATTTTTCTGAACAATATGATAATTTCTCGTAGTTCTTATTAAATATTAATCACTACAAACAGGCCTTCAAAAAATTTAAGAAAAGCTGAAGATTTTAAAAACAAATAAAATCTGGCATATGAAGTCTTAGACGGTAATGGAAGATGAAAAAAAAATTCTAATTAATAATTTCTGAAAACTAATATTATTTAACGGAAATCAAACGTTTTCATGGAAAATAAATGGAATTTCATAAATGTAAACTTTTAAAATTATTTTTAAGTTTAAAAAAAGTATGTAATCCAAGTTTATGGAACTTTTGGGATTTCTTTGAAATAAGGGTCCTTTATTTTCTAATCAGCGTTTTTCATCAAAATACTGTCAGATTTGAGATAGTGCATTAAGTTTATCTAACTTTTTGGATTTATTCGATATAAGGGTCCACTGTTTTATAGTCAGGAGTGCTTTTGATGAAAATACTGTCTTATTTGAGATTGTGCATCAAATGTTAGCCAAGGGAGAGTTGGAATGGGCATATTAGCCAATATATATTTTATTTTAATAAAATAAAAAAAAAAATAAAAACTGATGAAGAATATATGAAAATTACAAGAAAATGAATAATGGAAATCATCAATAAGAAAAATAAATATCGTGAAATAGCATTAAGCGATATAATGATAGAAGGTTTTTATCTATTACTAATTCTTGCCCACAGCTGTGTAATATATGTATAAATTCAATCAAGTTTATTTGATATAATCTAAATGTTGAATATAAGTTGCCTCATTATATAAAACTGTACATGGTTAAGGGTATAAAAGTACTTTAATGGCCAGAAAGTTATTTGTAACTGACTCAAGAGATCGGTTGCCTTCATGATCTTTCAGATAAACCTGGACGCATTCGGCACTCCATGAATAAATGTGACCGAAATGATTATTATGACACATACTCCGTGAGGAACTCATGTGAACAAGTACAAACAACGGTACTAGTTTCAAATCACTACTATGAGATGACGATTGCATTCAAAATCACTTTGAGCACACTGTAAATGGATTACTGAAACAACTTATCTAAAATTAGACAATGATAGATACCCAATATACTTGGCAGAATCACTAGTGTCTAGGGAGAAAAATATTTTTGAGGAGGGTCGGTATTATACCGTCAATGCCCGGCCTCCCCTCCCCTTCCTTTTCAGTTTCTACCACAGTCGGCCTTGTTTTCTCTAAGCTCTTGGAATGGACGTTTTTCTTCGTGTTCTCTACTTTAATTATACTTTTAACACATAGTTTTATTTCTTTTTCTTTTTTTATTTTCAAATATTGCCTTACTTTTGTTGTTGTTACCATGGAAGACTCAAAATTTTAGTGCCTTTTTTTTTTAAATCAAAACTACATCAGTCTATTTCATCCATATAACTTCAGTCTCTGAGCTTTACATATAAAGAGAGATTTGAATGTAATTATCATTGATTTATTGCAAAAAATCACTAACATAATAACATGGATGGAGATGTACTTTTAAAAAGGTTTTTAGGAATTTTGACCTTATTTATTGACAAAAAGAAACAAAAAAAAAAAACAGTATTTCCACTAAAATGACACAAACCCTTTTATATATGAAATATAGCTGCAAGTGCAATTTTTTTAATTTCATAAATGGAAAATTTTTAAAGTTCATTGTGATGTGAGGTTATAAAATGTCACATAATGATGTTTTGCAATCAACTGACGATATATTTAATCTATAGAAAAGTAAGGACTGTATTACATTTTAAAAATTATTGGAATTAAATCTTCATCACTTTTCGCATGTATTAATTCTTATTTTTTTTCCTTGTAAAATTTACCACCACAATACAGTTACAAGTTTTTCAATACAGCATCGATAGGTCAAAAGTTGTCACATAAATTGTAGATAAATAATGTGAGTTCTCAGAACGAAAAATCATCAAATTATATAGTAATTGAATTTATCATAAAGTTACATAATGATTTTTCGGAACAACCTGACAATAAATCCTTAATTATTTAAATATGCAATCTGATATAAAGTTATTAAACTATAGTACCTTCAATTCTTTTTTCACACAAGTACAATAAAGCAGTTTTTTAAACAATATCGTTGCCTTAATTTGATGGTATTTTCAAATCACTAGAAAATTGATATCAAAGAAATAAAAAAAAATACATGAAATAGCTTGCTAAAAGAAATTTTTAATTCAATTATTTCAACTTTTATTAGAAAAATTCAAATAAATAACTTCGGATTATTCATTATCCGAATGATAAAAAATTCTTATTTATACAGATATAAAAGATCATATGCAATAGTATTTACAACTAGTAAATTTTCTTTTAACAGGCTTTGAAAGACAACTCTAACATCATTTTATATATTTTTCTTCCAGAGTAATTTACATTTTAATAAAATTTGTTTGTTTATGTTTCATTATGGGAATATGCATTTTTTTTTTTTTTTTTTTAATGCATTAAAGGGAAATGTGTGGTTAGACCAAGAGCATATATCATAGTAATTGGCAACATTCGACCATTTTCAGTGTTTCATGAACAAGTGTGACCGAAATGATTGTGAACCATGCGTAGTGTAAATCTGATGTAAATAAACTAGTATCTCATTTTTTGAATTATTTTTTTTTTAAGTAATACAATTGACCAATTAATTCAGCAGCATTTAGGCTCCAAAGTATGACCAAAATGATTGTGAACCTGATGTAAATAAACTATTATCTCATTATTTTTGTTAAGTAATACAATTGACCAATTAATTCAGCAGCATTTAGGCTCCAAAGTATGACCAAAATGATTGTGAACCTGATGTAAATAAACTATTATCTCATTATTTTTGTTAAGTAATACAATTGACCAATTAATTCAGCAGCATATAGGCTCCAAAGTATGACCAAAATGATTGTGAACCTGATGTAAATAAACTATTATCTCATTATTTTTTTTAAGTAATACAATTGACCAATTAATTTATCAGCATTTAGGCTCTAATATACTAGTTTTACATTCATTATAAACAGATAGTACACAGCTTTAATGTACAAGTTTTTATTAATGAAATATTGGTCAACCATATATATGTAAATAATATAAATGGAATTCATTTATCGTCCATCAACTTGAAATTTTTTGTGGACAGCAGTTGTATACATTTTTCTAGTGAAGATATAAATGCTAATAATACATCACCCTTTATATTGCAATATGCCATATTGACATTGTAATTTTCTACGAGTAAATTATAAGCTTAATGACCTTTGATTAATTCAATTTACAGAACATTTGGGCGTCCACAATGGCAACAACTGAGAGACACGTTGCACGCTTGGAAATCAAATTTAGCAAACGTCCAAGAGGGAATGAAAGCTGTAGTGTCTGCCCAAATGGAACTTGCCCAACAGAAGATCCAATAAAATTGTTTTCTCTATTGTAATGTAATATTTTTAATAAAGCCTTGGTTTTCTTAATATTTGTTTTACTATTCACACTTGAAATGACAAAATCTTTACAGAAATGCTGAGAAAAATGAGGAATTGGTTTTGTTTTTTCAGACATTAATGTATCCTTTTGGGGAACTAGCATTTTTTTTTTAATGAAAAATTATATTGGATTATCATATTCAATTAGCGAGAATCTTTCCTTTATAAATGGGTAACTATAATAAAATATCATAATACATTTTAATAGTTTAGTATTCATATGCTCCAAGTACAATTTGGAGAAGACATTTTGTGTTTATCTTTAGAATTTCAATTTTTAAAAAATATATAATTTTATGTGAAAAAAAAACATTTGATTTATTAAGACTACTAAGTAAGAAAACTTATTATTAAATATTTCAACATTTACCCATAAAATCATATCGGTACTGTTAGTGCAAAAGGTTTTAAGAACAATTTTCCATTGTTATTCTATTTGTGCTAATAGTCACATTAAACTGCAATGCTTAGTCTGCTACTGTGGAAAATAGAACAAAATTAAATAAGAAATTATACTAATAAATCTCAAAGAAATAATAGTTTTTATGATGCTCCTCTGTAAAATAAATCAATTTTTACATACAGCCTTTTGCACTAACAGTAGCGATATTAATGACTATATACAGTCATTAGCCAATTGAATTAAGGAACTAATAATATAATATAACTAAGCATAATTATATTCTGATGAACATGTTAAAGCGAGTTAGGAATTAAGATAAAATTAGTTATTTGGAAGAGGTACAAGTCCTCATTTGCAAGAAATAATAAATTATTAGTAATGAATAAAGCATTTCTCTCTCAATACCAAGAATAGTTATTTATGTTTAACATAAAACTACCAAATAGTGACATTTTGACGTGACCATTGATTGCCCATCTAAGATTCAATTGAAATGTAAAAGAAAGCCTCCTTGATGCTAATGCCCACATCACATAACATATTTTTATAATCATTTAAGTGCCTAGTTCCACTGAATTTTATAAATATATATTATCTAGCAACTTTAATTGATGATAGATTAAAGTATTGCTTTACATAATGTTTTTTTATTATGATTACTGCAGAATGTAACACATTTGTGTGCTCTATGCTCCACAAGGAGTCAGTGGTGATAGTAATAATAATAATAATTACATAATGCTTTTGAAAGGAATTTTCTCTTAGAGGGAACACTGGAGCCTGGTAAGAATATTAGAATTTAAATTTATATATTGAATTTAAATCTATATAGCCCAATGACTGTCAGTGACCAAGCATGTGTTATAATGTTTCAGACTCCCAGTCTGATCTGTAACCAACAAATCCATTTCAACTGACTTAATATAGAGACAATGAGGGTAGTTTAACTCACCTTAAGATTAATTCATAAAAAAAAAAAAAAAAATGCTTTCTTAAAAATAGCTTCATTGTGGTTATCCCTGACATTTCATATTACTGTCATCCACACTTTGTAAAATGGTTAATTTCCTTCCCGGCATTGGCCAGTAGTGAGACCAAGCCATACTTTGGCTAGTATGGTTAGTTTTCAATAATGTTTATGTCAGTCTAAAGCCAGCCTTCGACTAGTGCTGCTTTTTTCCTTACTTTCAAGACTTCATCTCATAAGAAAGTATTTCTATTATTTTTTAACATCAAATCTTCTGATTTTTTAACTTTAAATATAAATATATTTTTATGTGTAGTTCTGTCATTAATTGGATCTCAGATCATTTACAGATACCTAACCTGTAAAAGTCTTTAGCCCAAAAATTATTAAATTAAATTTAATATAAATTTTTTTTTAAATTAACCTTTAAATAACTATATTTTATTTAAAATCACAAGAAAATATATTATAATTATAATAAATTAAATATCCTGTTTTTTATGTTTTGCTAACTTCTTTACAAATTTAAGCCACAATTACACTAAGATTATTTAAACAGCCATATCAGCAGTCCGTTGAGTGATTTGAACAAATGGTTTTAGTGCTGCACTATTCTGCTTCTATTTTTCGAAATGGTTAATGGTATAGTATTAATTAATTGTGGATTGATGGTTGACTGTAGTGAATAATTGAAGAGAAGAATGGTTTGGGTGGTCATCCAATAAATATTCTTAATTATTTTTACTGACTGCCCCAATCGTTCTTCTTCTTTATAGTATTAATTATTGATCTCAATAGTTAATGAACTCTCCTGCGGAATGATCTTTCCATCGTTGAGAAAAAACTGATATCAAAGTAATATATTTCATTATTAATCATGTAATATTTAGTATGTAGATATACACATATATTTTACAGTATAAATTATTTCTACATAACGGATGCTCTCAATAAGGGACTGAGACAGGATTTTGATTCATCATAACAGAAAGCTACAAGACAGCAGTATATGTATATATAGCTCATTCTGAGAATATTTTTTCAATTTATAGTAGTTCAGTATACATATAAGGATTTTTTTTTTTTTTTTGATGTAGGAGTTACAGTTTTAACATTTTGTTATTAGTTCTACAGATTTGGTTGTCAATATGTCAACTCCCTTCCAGTTAACTTTCTAAGAAAAAAATTAGTCTATTTGAAAAACTTAGGTAATTTTGATGCTCAACAAAAATATAAAATTATAAAAATAAAGATATTTGACATTTTATAGATAAATAGAATTGTGTAAGCAATCCCACCATGGAAATGTTAATACAAAAAAAATAATTTCTTAAAACTTCAGGTTTTATCTTCCAGAAGCATTCACACTACTATTTAGAAACATTATACTGGTGCTGCACCTGTGATGTGACAATATATATTTGTGGCCTCTTGAATCTTCCAAGTAAACTATATCCTAAAATTACTAACAGTTACAAAATAATTCATTAAATGTTGATGATAAGCTCCATTAGTTATTTTATCACCCACTACAATTCATAAAAATATAACTCGTAATGAAGATGGAAGCTCTTACAAATTAATAGGCTGAAAACATATTTCAGTTCAGAGGAAGACTGTGAATAAGTTTTACTGATTTTATCCATCCAAACCATTTAAGAAGACCACCTAGTAATGCATCAAAAAGTTCAAACACAAATTACAGATAATTAATCCAAATATTTTTAATTAAAAAATTTAAAACAATAGATACCCGACCAGTTTCTAATAAATATTTCATGAGGCAGAGTGTTACAAGTCTGGTCCCAATTTGGACCAACCAACGTAGTAATGTGGGAGTAAATATTTTTTTAGTGAAAAATAAATTTGATATTTGTTTTTCGCACCTCAAGAAAAATGTTTTGCCTAAACTGGACTCTTGAAAATTCCGTCAACAACCATAAAACTTGTGATAATTTCAGAACGGCTTCACTGGTTTAGGCCTCTTTGAGTTACACGAAATGGTATAAACCCAATCTTCGTAAGCAAATTAAAACTAAAGATATAAAATAAAAATGGATTACAAGTTTTTCTTAATTTCTAGCCTGAAAAGAAAAAAATGAAATTCAAAACTTATTGGTGTCAGATGGAAGAGCAGTAATTCAGCTTTCCAACGATTTTATTAAAGTAGAATTTAAAGAAAACTGAGGAGTTATGAATGCTTCAGTTGACGGCTGGAAAAAACTCAACCAAGAAAATAAAGTACTGAAGGTTGTATTTTTTTATTTATATAATAATTCATATTTAAGAGTTTTAAAAGGCCCTAAAAAGGTATCTAATTTGCTTTTGCAAAACAAAAATTTATTTGGCCTTCTTTACTGAAAATATCTTTTAGTTTTTATAAATTATGATACGTAATAACTCATTTAATACAATAGTTAATATTTTTTCTTATTCTGTACAGAAGAAAAAAACGAGTGATATATAGGAACTTCCTTTTTTTCCTCCCCTTTAACGCTGTACGTGATTTTCCAGAGGAGGGAAGGTGAGGGCAGGGATTTAAAAGACTCCCTAGAACTCCTGACTATTTTTTTATCACTATATCTTATATCAGGTTGCCGGGCAATGGTGGTGCTGAGCACACGCATTAGCCCATTTGGCCACCCTGCTCAATGATATATAGGAACCAAAAAATCTGGGCACAGTAAAGACAAAAATAAACATCATAAATTTAATTTGAAATTTTATAATTTTTTTTTTTTTCGGCTCCTATTGGAAAGAACGCCGGGATACGTGACTGATATTTTTTGATATAGTGTCACCAATAAATATTTGGTTGAAATTGGTGACCCAAAGACCGTATCCTCTCCATGTAAGTTAAAAAGAAAGCTTTAGAGAAGCCTGGAGGACCTTAGGGCTGTCTTATTTAGTCACTGAATTGGCTTAATGCTGCAAGAACACAGAAGATTTTATAAACTAAAATTGTAAACATATGCATCAAAATATTATAGCATGATTTTTATAAATAATTTTATTCAAAGCTATGTTACTAGCAATAACTATTTTTAATAGTGGAAACAAAATTATGAAGTAGGAAAGAACTACAAGTAAACGGAGTACCTTCAGCTTGGCTAACTTATAAAGAGAAATTTAATAAGAATTGTATGTTATGTTAAGAAAAAATTAATAGCAATTAAGGTTATTATGCTTCAATCTAACCTGTGAAATTAAAACACATCAGAAGTACTTTTATTAGGAGCTTTATTTAAAACCATAAATATTTTTTTATTTATACTTGAACGATATATTACTCTTACTTGAACAATAAATAAAACTTACTCATTTGTGAGCCAAGTGTATCTAAAGTTCCTATTGAATGAATGGAAGAAACAAAAGCAACAAATAAGTTTATTCATAACTATAGTGTTTAACACCTGGTTCTGGTTTATGTTGTTTAGCTAATGGTAGGAAACAAGCATTATTTCCTAACTCTAACAATAAAACACTGATTCCCATTACTGTTAAAAAAGCTGCTAACTGAGCAGTTAGGGAATATTTAGGCTTAAAGTTAGCATTTATTCTATCAGCTGTGTACATGTTAAAGTCTTCATGAACTGGTTCATTGAAGTTTCTTCTA